CGATCAGCATGATATCATGCTAAAACCAGTATGATATCAGTAGGTTATCATGCTAAAACCAGTATGATTTCAGTAGTACATCTTGCTAAAATCAGTATGATATCAGTAGAATATCTGTTTAAAATTTGTATGATATCAGTAGAATATCTTTCTAAAACTAGTATGATATCGGAAGGATATCATGCTAAAGCCAGTATGATATCAGTAGGATCTCATTCTAAAACCAGTATGATATCAGTAAGGTATTAAGCTGATATTAAACTGATATCACACCCGGCGAGAATAGGTCAGTTCACATTATGTATCGTGCTGATTGACTTCGCCGGGAGGGCACGAAATGACGATTTTTGACCAGGATGAAGGTGGATGGGCAAAACGAACAGAATAACCATTATGTAGTCATTAAAATTGACGATTCGCTATTGCGAGTGGAGGAATTTGAACGGGGCTTCTCCAGATTCCTTCCTCAACGAGCACACCCCATCTCTCCCGAAATAGTCGGCTCCTTTTCGCTAAACGTGTGCGGCTCATCTATTTTTAGTGCGGACTCGAGGAAGTCCCGGAAGACGAAGCCTCCGAGGGCAAACGGAATAATTCAGCGCGTAGGCGTCTGATGTGTGTACATTGATAGCGCAGCTCAATATTTACATTCGCCCTGTCCGAGATCAATTAGCCCCTGCGTCGGTGTAACCTCCGCCAAACGTATGGGTTAGCTGAATCGGTTGAAATGAAAACCCTTACAAGTCTAGTTTCTGTTGAGAACTCAGCTCAATGGAGATGTTGCATGTGTGAGGGATTTGCGATTTGACCATTGATTCTTGGTGTAAAAGTTCGCGAGAAACACGATAGTGCCACTGGTTTTCACTGAAAACATCTCCCAAGCTCAAAAAAAGCTCTCAAAGTGAGGCGAAAATGGAGGGGATATCCCACCCTACCCTGAGAGTCCACCTCTACATCAAAACAAACTCTCCATGCAAAGATACTGAGCAAATACATTAGAGCAAGGTTGTCGTGTTTTCAGTCTTGGAGTCCCCAAATAAAGTGGCAACCCTGCTAATGTATTTGCTCCCTATCTTTGCAAGGAGAGTTTGTTTTGATGTAGAGGTGGACTCTCAGGGTAGGGTGGGATATCCCCTCCATTTTGGCCTCACTTTGAGAGCTTTTTTTGAGCTTGGGAGATGATTTCAGAGAAAGCCAGTGGCACAATCGTGTTTTCCACGAACTTTTACATAAGAATCAATGGTCAAATCGCAAATCCCTCACACATGCAACATCTCCATAGGAATGCCTATATGTATTCTGCGGTCCACCATCAATATTGGACATGATCGCTTTCGGCACCAAATCGAACACGCGTGAGTCTTTACTCTGATGGTTAGAATAATGTCAGAAAACGAACAAGATCTGCTTGAAAACCACCAGGACCCTTTCGTATGAGCATTCGAGAGTTACCAAATTTCCTCCGGTAAAATGCTAATTTTTGTGGAAAGTTATGCATATTATCCCTTGAAATTTTTAAATACTAAAGATTAAATTGCGAATGAAATCCTGCAAAAAATTAGAAGAAAAATATCCTCAAGTTTTCCAGTAATTTCGTATTTCATCGAAGGAAATTTGGCAATATTTGAAGGCTCATACGATGTTTTATCTTAGCGAGCAGTACAGCAGACTGCAAGTTGCGAAACCTGACCTCGAGCTGTACACAAGTTGGGGTTCTTTTTAAATCAGGTTCGAGCCATTCTTAGTTCCTCAGTGGTGCAAACAATTGATCAGCGATCAATTAAGAAAATGGACATTCTTACCGCAACTTTCAGTATATTCCTTCACACTGTAAACTGTATGGCGTGCTCCTTGAAGGAAACTTAACGAGAAGGGCAATAAGACCGCTTCTAAAATCCTCATGTTCCGTATTAACTTCGATACGAGCTTTTAGTGTTTCCACATTTGGACTACATTTTGCAATTTGGAATTATAAATCCTAGCCCGGTTTAAAAACAATGTATGTGCCATTAGTTTCCCTATGCACATAAGTAAGTGTTTTTCCAGAAGAGCTACAATTTATAGTTCCAAATTCCAAAATGCAGTCCATTTGGCCCATCTTTTCTCATTGACTCGCTCCACTGAGCGCCGCTGGCGGGGGTGGTTAGTGTCTAAAGTCAAAACGCTTTCATTTCCGTCCGTATGCAACATGGAGATCTACGGAGCCCGAATAGTTGCATCTAGGCGTTATAAATGAAAATCGTTTGGTAAGTGCATGCGACGGATATGCGTGAAGTAAACCATTGCTGATTCCCGTCGAGACATTTGTCAATTTTCCGAGAAATGCATTATTTAAATGTATTACAATGTTGCCGGCCCTCGAAATCGCTAAAAGTTAGGTATCTGAGCATACTAGGTATGCAAAATTTTCTTTCACCTACTTTGATTTTTTTTTTTTTTTGTATTTTTTATCTTTTGGGAAAACTAATTGCGACGTTGAATGCAAAATTTTTAAGGAACAATCCAGATGAACTGCATGAAATTTGGAACCACTAAATTTTTCTAACGGACGGACCTAGGTCTGTCGACCTTGGGAATAGCAGAAATCTGCCGTGCTGATAGCGAGTAAAATCGCCGTATGAGCATCCGACTGTTGCCAAGTTTCCTCTCAGAAAAAATGTATTTTTGAGGGAGGTTAGGCATATTTTTCCTTGATATTATCAGACTTTCTGGATCAAAATACGAATGAGGTCCCCTGAAAAATTGGAAGTGAGACCGTCACAAATTTTCCTGAAAATTCGTGATTTGTAGAAGGAAATTTGGCAACACCTGATGTCTCATAAGACGTTCTTCCTTAAGGCGGGAAAAATGGAAACCTCATGACTGCAGATGCGACATTTTAAGTATCACGAAGGGGGAATTCCTGATTTCATCCACCCCTTTCTGGGCTCCTTTCTCCGCGAAGTGCGGGGCGCGAATCGATTCCATGAAAGGTGCATGGATGGGACGACGACGCGACAGTACGGTCACGGTGGCTCCGATACCACGCCGCCGTGCTAAGGAAGAACGCCGTATGAACATTCGAGAGTTGCCAAATTTCCTCGAATAAAACATGCATTTAAGAAGGAACATATGCATATTCTTCCTTCAGATTTTCAGATATTTTAGATTGAATCGTGAACGAAATTGACTGAAAATTTTGAGGAAAAACATTTACAACTTTCTCAAAAAATTTGATTTTTATTGAAGGAAATTTGGCAACGCCTGAAGGCTCATACGGCGTTTTCCGTAAGGACGGCAGCATGAAAGCGGGCACAGCCCCCAGCGCGGCGGCTGCCGTGTTTTAAGAGAAACCCCGTACGGGCACTCAAAGGTTGCCATATATACCTACTAATAGAAAGTGAATTTCATGGATACTTGAAAATATTTCTCTCTTAAAATTTTGGAGAATTTTGGTAGCGATTCCATATAAGTACTGAGGGGCCGTTCGAGTATTACGTAACGCACTTGGGAGGGGGGGGGGG